TGCCTTACTAGTAGTAACAAGAAGCTACTAGGAACAAGTGCCACGCTAGTAGTAACAAGTGCCTTACTAGTAGTAACAAGAAGCTACTAGTAACAAGTGCCTTACTAGTACCAGATATGGTCCATGACACGTCCATACCAGAGACCTGTGACACTGCCGAGAGTGTCGTTCAGCAGCTGTTTTCCATGCCAGTGACACGGCGGCGGGGGAAGTGAATGTATAACTTCGGACATCCATCCAGCGGTGTTTGAGGACATCTTCCCAGCATGGGAGTGAAGGGCACCGTGCCAGCCCAAGCATCCCTTGCTAACTTGGCAGATTCCAGATCGCAAATCTCAGCACAACACATCCCATCACATCCCACCCCACCCACGACTATTGCCCAAAGTCGTGGCCAATTCAGCCCTGACAATAATATCAATGGACACTTGAGCACGGGTTGTTGGGGCATGTGTTCTTGACATGTTGCGACCATGTCTTTGCGATTGAGATGAGCGTACATAAGTTACGCTTCTGGCCAAAGCCGGAGGATGCGGTTATTGCTCGGTCTACGACGGCGCTACAAGTTTGGACGTTTCCATCAATGACCACACCTTTTATAACCACCCCACTGGGCTCGCCGCCTCCGCAGTGGATCTTTTCATTCTTTTCCGCCGGTCGTGCCCTCAGCACCGAATGCGCGACACCACGGCTTGGAACAAGCCGCATCCCTCGACTTGGGGCCTGACGTCCAATTGACCTAGCTGCATTCGTCATCATTCGTCCGATGTCAGTGGCGAGACCTGGCACAAAAGAGCACCTCTTGGGGAGCAGTCGGGTGGTGAGTATAACATGTAAGAAATATGATGGTCAAAAGCGTGGTCAATGATGCGTCTTGGAAAGATGTAGCGTAGTGTTGCATGCAGAAGTGTCACCTGTGCACTGTCACATGTGCACCTGTGCTTGTCACAGCGGTGCTATCACTCCTTGATCCATGTGGGAGGCTCCATGCTGGATCGTTACTGCCCCCCAACATTCCCCTACCTGTTGTGATGTTGCCATGAGAGTGTGTACTTGGCGTTCTGAACTGGAGATTTCAGGTGCTTGATTTGGTTCGGAGCACTCTCCACAGCTGCTCGGAGCGGTTTTGGGGTGTGTTTCTTTTGGTGGGGAAGCTGACTAGCAAGTTCAAGAGTTGTGTAGCCTTTTGATTGCCTAAGCTGGTCCTACCAAGTGCCATGTTATTATTTGTATATACACCCTGGAAGATTAACATGGAACTACAGTATTTTCCTCTACAACCCAGTGGTTTTCAGGTTCCATGTGTTGATGTTATATAATTTTATGACATATGTTTTTTGTTTCTACGACCCACTCGATTGAGACACCTCTTTTCTTTTCGCGAAGAGAGAGGCTGTCACTGTTGGGTTCGTTTGTGGTTCGACTCAGGTTGGGAGAAGGATGGCATCCACTATTTCCTGGAGCAGCTCTTCCACTCAGTGCAGCCACCTCACTCTAAGTGACTTGGAGTTGGAGACACCGATGGAACGCTTTGGGTGAGTGTCTATATATAGATATAGATGTGATTTGTACTGGTAGACGGAATATGTCTTTCAAAAAGCAGCGACCTTGAAAAAGGGTGTCACCAGTTTTATCGGATTCTGGATGAACCGCTGAACGGCTTTTGAAAACCGCCAGGCGCTTTTGTTGGGCCGTACTCCTGCTACTGGCGCCGGGGGCGCAGCAGTAACGGGTCGACGCAACGGGGGTCGACGCCAGCGCGAAAGCGATGAGTTGCGCGTGTGAGGGCGTGGCAGGTAGGCGCAGGTAGGCGTTTTTCGAATTGGTGCTTTGTTTGCCTGAGGACTCCTGCTGGTATAGCTGCATGTCAGGGCTCCAAGTTCATGAGGAAGAGTCGGAAGAAGCTTGTGGGCCGCTGTGTTTCTACAGGGCTGGCCATGCTTCTTCGAAGTTTGCAGAGTTGCTCTTCAGCCTTTGCTAGGAGAAATGGTGCATGGCCATGTTAATCACTCTGTGATACTTGTACTGCTCAATTTTGCTCGTGTGCATCTGGTTCTTGATCCAGATGTCATTTGGAGATTTTGGGAGGAGCTAATTGAACAGGGCATGGCCAAAAAATGTTTTTTTTGTGGCATGGTTAGGAGATCGGGCGTTGATCGGAGGAATGGGTTTTAGCTTCTTCATCTCCAAGCTCGTTGGACACACCCAACATTGTTTTCCAGCTCGGGTTCCTTTTGCATCCGTTTCATTCGGACCACATTAGGATTGGCCGGCTATGGCTATGACCACCTTTGCACACACGTTTGGTCGCGGGTCACTATGGACAACCTTTAACATCCTTTGACCGGATTGGCTTCCCCACTTAAATCCAACGGGATGAAAAGGTTAACCTCCATTTTCCAGGGAAAACGGAGGGGTCCAAAAAAGACGCCGTGGTCCTTCGTCACCTCGCAGCTCTTTTTCACATCTTTTGGTTCGGACCCGACTGCTCAGGCAGCACGGCCCAGAACTGCCCGGAGACCCGGCCGTGCTTGCGGTGCTTGGCTATCCAAGCTGAAACGTCAAGTGTCCAAGCCGAAAGCCATTTCTTCAAGCATGGGACAAGCAAGCGGAGCCATTCTTGAGCTTGGACAGCTTGGACGGGCCCAATCTACACTCATCAGTCCGCCTGTTACTGTAAGGGTTGCGCGTTCCTCTACCATCCTCTACCCTGCAAGTGGGGTGCAAGGCGATAGGCATATATATATATATATTATACATGTATTTATATATACATACATTTATTTATGTGGAATACCTGCCGGATCATTCTACAGTGCCTCGCGCGGGCTTGGTGTTCTGTTGCCGTCCCTCATTGCCTGGTCTCAGCAGTTCAGATTTGCATGCTATGCCTCATTCAATGCGTTTCCCGCTTTGCCGCTGTGTTTGTGGTTCTCAACCAAGTCCAAGGCCCTTTGGCGGAACAGTTCTGCAACCAAGCACGCACTTCCTTGGAATCGGCTGTGGCCCAAATCTCATCATCGTGTGGAGAAGATGTCCAAGGTGTCCATAATCCAAGCAAAGTGGTGTGGCTTCAGATCCAATGTCCAGCTTGGAGGCCATGTGATGAGTATGTCTGAGTATGTGGCTACTAGTAGCCAGAAGCTACTACTAACAAGGGCATCGCTACTAGCAACAAGGGCATTACTATACTAGTAACAAGAAGGCTACGAACGTAGCAAGGCACCGACCACGGCACGAGTGGCCGTCTTCTGTGTGGCGTCTTGTCCAGATCTCACGAGGTGAAACTGGATTCGCAGACGGTGGAAGATCGGGTCTTGCAGGCGAAGAAGGCGCCGTCCGTCTACTGAGTCTGGGTGCATTTGGGAGGATTGGTGAATGGAGATGTTGATGAGAATGGAGATGCCAACTTGGTGAATGGAGATGCCAATTTGGGTTCCATACTTTGGTGAATGGAGATGTTGATGAGAGATGCCAACTTGTCCGCCCCGCACGTCGCAACAAACATGCAATGCCTCTAGGCCTTCGGTACCCTGGAGACCGCCCTCACCGCTGCGCGCGCCGCGTTGCCGGTGCAATCACCGGGCCCGATGACTTCGCCACGGCCTTCGCCACGGCTGGTGCCCTCGCCGGCGCCCCGTGCACGCCGGGAGCAGACGGAGGAGCAGGCAGGATGCACGGGATTGGGGATGCAGTGTAGGCGATGGGCAGAAAAAGCACACCCACTAGTGCACGCATTGTATTGTGCTGTGCCCGTTGCACCATTGGTGACATCTATGAAGTGCCAAGTGCAATACTTGCATTCATCCTGCCCTTTTTGGGGGAAGTCTCTCAACTCCTCCCACATGCCAGATGATTGAGGCCAATCTCTACCGGTGGTGGCATTCTTCTCCAGGGCTGACCATTGCCGCTAAGCCCCGGAAGCGAAGGCCCAGTTGACCCGTTTCAGGCAAGTAAGGTTGGCATTCATGTCAGCTTCAAGATACTTCAAGTAAGTTCCAAATGAAGAAGTTTGCTGAAATCAACTGATGGCAGAGGGTTGGTCCACCGATCTTCCACAGCAAGAAGAGAAGTATTTGGAGAGTGGCAATGACCTACAGACTTACAGAATTCCTCTCTAAATGACTCGTCCGACCTGTTCACCTTTGCCGCCAAGAAGGAAAGATGAGCCTGCGGAGCCTGCGAAACGTCATCGAGGCATGTGGAATTCGATTTCAGTGGTGGGTTTCCACCGCAGATCCATAGAAGATCCACTTGAAATGTGGATTGAACAATGGCATAAAACAATAAACTGATCCACTTTTACTTGTATTTCACATCGAAATTGGTTGACCAGTGATGTGAAGTGAGTGACTCGGATGTGACCTTCCGATGTCCACCGATGTGAGTCACCGGCGCACTCCTTCACCGTGTGAGCTGGTGTTTTTGTGAGGTCTCTCGTGCCTTGGTTCCAGCCTATCCCAGTAGGTTGATGAAGTGAGTTGAAGGAATTAGAGGAAAACTTCCCAGACTTTTTAGATCTTTTTAGCTTATAAGGATCGAAGTAATATGCCTCAGTCAGCTTTCAGGAATGTTATTGGTTTACTTATGTTCAGTTAATCTGGATTTTTGGATGCTGCCCCAGCTTCAGGCTCTCACAATGCACGTTGAAACCGCATGGAGTGCGGATTGTCCAAAGCCCTTTTCGCTTGGCCCGTTCAGAACCATTCCAGGCCGCCTGGGCGGCCGTGCTCTCCGGCCGCGGTCCGCTCGGCCGCGATCGGCCCGAGTGCCGAAGGCACGACGGCCGGGACTGAGTCGTTGGTAGACCGTGGAGTAGTTCATTGGAGTCCATTTGTCATCATTGGTCCGGGTTCGGGTGGAACATCTGCACATATCTGCACCCATCAGAAGGTGACATCATGCACAACTGCCACACCCCAACTCGCAGACTAACAATGGAAGCGGAAAAAAAGAGAGAGAAAACACCATTAGTTCGTGCAGGAAAAAGTGGTCTTCCAAGGGGCCATGCCATCCACTTTGATGTTGCGAAGTCAGAGAAAGCAAGTCGACACACAATTCCAAGGCCTACAGGGCACAGGCCCCATGGAGGTTTCCGTGTGATGTTTCCGTTCATGCAACGCACACTACCTCAGGTGTTGGTTTTCGGTGGCCCTAGTGGTGGCCCCTTCGTATAGGGAGCAGATGAACCTTTGGTGTTGGTGCTGTAGTCTAAGCCCTGATGATCCAAGTACTCCACTGGGTGGTGGTTTCAGATATTTTTCTACCCATTGCTTGATCCCACTGACGCATCTTCTTCCGAGTTGAAAGCAACCAGTCCATGATGTTCTCGGATGGGTCAAGCCACCAAGACTACCAGATCGGAGCTGTGGTTTGACGTTGCAAGCTGCGTTTTACGGTGCACAGGAGGTCCTTGACAAAGTGACAGAAGCTTCCGGTAGGAAGTTTATCGTTTCCGGGTGAAATCATCTGAAACATACTCTTCCAAGGAGCTTTGACAAGCACTTTTCCCATGTAAATCCTCGATGCCAAACAGGTGTCCATGTCTCGTGACCCCCTTTTTTTCATTTTCGCTCCGCTTTCCATGGACGCGTGATGACGTACCTGATGAGGCCGACGCTTCTGATGAGGACCCCTCTTTGAGCGAGGAGGTGCTGCCCGCGGTCCGCGGTCCGGCGGTTCAGCACTGCGATCGCTCATCCTGGGGGTTCATTGCCCGGGACGGTTTGGAATTGGATCGGTGTTTGTGTTCATCTGCACAACGTCCTTTTTTTAAGACAAAGGACGACCAAAGCTTTCTGGTTCGAAGGGCTTAGTGCAGATTTGCACTGAAGGATGACCATTGCTGCACGTGTTTTCTCACCTAGTTGGGTACCCTGTTCGCTCTGGGTAATGAGCCACCGTATGGTTTTCAACTTTGTATTGATCTTGGTCGCAAATGTCTCGCAGTTTTCATGCTGCTTATATTCCGGTGACGCAAAAGCAAACTAATTCTTGGTGTGGGCATTCCACAACCGCTGAAAGAGCGCAGCGCTGCAAACCCAGCACATCCCAGCCCAGGGTAGGTCCATTCCAGTGAACTGATATACGATGTAAATCTTCAGAAAATGCGTTTTTGATCGTTTTTGCCTTTCTCTGTGTTCTTCAGTATTGAAACGAACAGTTTACGGACTGATACGAGTCAAAGCGTTTTGGTGCCAGCCTCCACGTTTGGTGAGCTTTGCCAAGCGCAGTGCGCGCAGGAGCAGGAGGCATCAAGCGAATACGAAGCACCCGCCGCTCGGAGAAGGGATGCACGGGATGATACATGATAACGGGTATATAAGAGGAACAAGAAGCTATTAGGGGCTCCTGGCTTTACTACTAGGAGCAAGGACGCTACTAGGGGCTCCTGGCCCTACTACTAGGAGCAAGAAGCTATTAGGAACAAGAACTAGAATCAGTCTTCACCCCCAATTCCACCACTTTCCCATACAGCACCTTGACTGTCCGAAAAGGTGCCCTTACCCTTAGACCCTGAGTCCTTGTGTTTAGGAGGGATTTCTTACCAAACCACTGGAGGTTAAACCCTTAGCACAGGACCTATGGACAGCTAGCGGTTCGGTCTCGTACGTGGCAGCTGCGCCCATCTGTCTCCCTTGGCACTTGCGACGACTAAGATGTCGACGCATGTCGCTGGGGGCGACGTATGCTATGCTATGCGTGAGTTCCGTGGCGTGGAAGACACATCAGACTGTTCACACCAACTGTTTGGCACCCTCCGTAGTCCAGTGAAGTTGCCGGGCAAGGGAGGAGCGATTGAAGTCCAAGTGCTACCACCTGGAGCCCCAGGCTCGTTTCACGATATCAATGATATACTTTCAAGGCTTTGGTTGATCAGTTGATCAACTGTAACATAATATTATAGGACTGGTTACTGGTTGCTAGAATCTAGCATGCCAAGTTTGTAGTACCAAACTAGACTCAAAATTTGAGAAGCCACCATGTGATCCAGGCTTTATTCGATAGATTCTATCCGAAGTGTTTTGTGCGAGCATTTCAGGGCGGCCAGTGTCTCTAGCTTACCTTTGCTCCCGCATAGAAGTGAGAGCCTGGAACTCGTTCATGTGAATTGATCCAAATCTCCCAAATAGATAGACGTTCGTAAATCCCCACATAGAACATGTATTGGAAACCTTACGCCACGGTCAAGTTACTTTGGGGCCACGGTCTGAACCCCTTTCAAACCACTTGACCTCCGGGCCCGCCTGGGCCCCGAAGACCGAGGCGAAACGGGAGACCCAGAGAGACCAAGCTGTCCAGGCCGACCCAGCTGTCTAGCAGCTGTTCCTGGCCCAGCAGGTTCAAAAGTGTGGTTGGTTGCTTTGTGATTCATGCTGGGCCAGGAACAGCTGGAAATGACTTTGGGCGGCGAGGAAGAGGGGAGAGTGGAGGAGCAGCGCAAAAGGCCCCCAAACTGCTGGCGCTCCTGCCAACGCCGGTCACAATGAACTTTTGATGGCTGGCTCCAACTAGAATAGATACTCCCCTGCAGATTAACATGGAACTCCAAAACCACTGGGTTGTATGTAGAGGAAATGGTCGAAATCACCAGTCAATTCTCAGGTTCCATGTGGTCCGTTCGCGGTCCCGAACGACGTGGGTATGGCAATGGCAGACCGAATCAGACCGAATTCCCTTTTCTGGGTATGGCATGGCAGGGGATTCATCACAGGATTGAGAATTGTTGCTTTCGGGGTTTTGGGGGGATGAATTCACTAGGAGGCTGTCAATCAATGTGGATGACATCGAACGACAATTACCTTGCTCTAAGCACCATCCAATGAGCCACTTTCTTCGGAACGGATGGCACCCACGGCACTAGGCTCTCCAAGGCTGTTGGCAGCATTCCAACCCCAAGCCGGGGCCCCAGCATCCGACCACGAGCCGTGGGTACGCCGAGAGCAGCCGGACCGAGCATGGCTGGACCAGTTTTTCTAGTTGATCAAACTGGTTTGTTTGGCCAGTTTCGGGTTCGGGTTTTCATGGCATGGCTTGATGTTCTGAGACTTATTTTGTGTTGCTGGAGAAATTCTGAACACACTTGGAAGAGCTGAAGGTATGCTGAAGTCACAAATCATCACAAATCCGATGGGCTCCAACCATGCAGCTGTCACACATGGCCGTCCTGATTCCATCCCTGTCCACAAAAACGCCCGTATGACAGTATGACATGCTACCTTTAAGAGCCCAACACTCTTAACATGAAAGACCACTCCGCAGGACGGCAAGGACGTAGGCCTTCGGCTCCGACCGGTGGGAAAGCAAAGGCCCAACGTCTCCGGCCAATTCTTCTTTCGTCTCCGGCTCAACCGTTTGGATGTCGGTTTTGTCGTCTGACCATCCGACCGACAGTTGAGGTATGGACAGTTGAGAGTGCAGGACTTGGTCGTGACCTTCCTTTCGAGCGCCTGGGACCGACCTTCGTCGCTGCGGACCGACGGAATCCAGCGCAGTGGGGGAAACCCATGGTTAGCACGGCATGTTTGGGGGTCTTGATGCACCGGGAGATAGCAGTTTAGACACTTGACATGCTATGCCAAACCTGCTATGCCATGCTGAGAAAAAGAACGGTATGGCTATGCCATGTTATGCCACTACTTGGGGTGTTTGATGGCAGTTTAGACACTGCACCAGCAAGTCAACCTTTGTCTTAAGATGTCTTAAGCAAGTTTTTCCCGCTGAGGTGGGAAGACTTGCTCGGTCACTGCAAGGCGCCGTAGTGGTGCAATACAGACAGAGGAAATGCTAAATGGGAGTTAGAGAGGTCCAAGATGGTAGAAGAGTGGATATGATATATGATATAGTAATATATAATATATAATCCCTTCCACCTATTAAAAAACACGAGGCCCCCCCCCCCCAATAAGGAAACCTCGATCGCATTTTTTCTAATAGGGGGTCCCTGAAATCGGGGGGGTCCAAAATAGGGTCACCTGGAAAGAGTTTCAAAACCAACAAATAATCAAGGGAAATTTTATATAAAATCATTTATTGAACACGTATCAAACATGCAAAAAAACATCCAGATCGAAGGGTCTTCCTTTTCCCCTACAACAACCTTCATTAGAATAGTGATTCTTCAGTAGACTAACAGCTAAAGCTTTCGAAAGGTGATGTCGCTGTGCCATGCGGTGTTGCATGACCTCGGTGGCAAGTGCATTTGCGTGAGTCCGTGCCATTGGGGGAAGGAAAGCCTGCTGGTGCAAGCGCGGCGTGTCATGGTGGATAGACAGGGCGGACAGAGGTGGGCAGTTACGGTTGTTTTTGGAACCTAATAAGAAAAACCCCTCCAAAATCGGCCATGTTGGTAGTTTAGTAGCGGCTTGAAAGGGCGGTAATTAAAAAACAAATATAAGCCGTATTTAGGGGGATCCGACATGATGTGTTTTTTAAATTTGGTGTGCGTTTTTTTTAAGCAGGTGCTCGGGATTATATATACTATATTGTAGACCTGTTACTGTCCAGTAATGCAGTGACCCTTTTTCCCGGTAAGACAAAGGGACTCGTGCCTGTCGGTCACTTGCTACATGGCTTGGACTCATGCAGTGCAGGCCAGATGGAAGTGTGGACGTTGCAGGATGGGTCTCCAGGCCACCGAACTGCAGGACTCCGGAGGAGCCCATGGAAATTGATGCAAATAGTAAAGACACATTAAAACACATTATGATGCTATAGTCGGCTAGAGTGTGCTATAGATTCATATAGGCTCCTTGCTCCAAAAGGTTCTTTGTTTCTCAAGACCTGCTCATGTTGTAGAGTCTACGGTAGAGTCTGTAGGGTCATGTCTAGTTTGACACCAGTTTTGACGAGGCCCGAAGGGCCAAAACCGCAGAGGCCAGGTGAGTTGGGTTTCGTCCACGGGACCGAGTTCGGGTGAAAAACGTTGCCAGCTCCTTGTGCAGTCCTTGTGGAGACGTCTTAAGTCAACGTGTTGTTTTCTTCTTTGCGTGTGTGTGTGCGTGGCACTTGTTTCGCCACAACTGCAGTTATAGGCTATAGGCATTTTTTGGGGGGGAGACCCGTTGCTGGTGTTTTGGGTCCATCATCATGTACATGAGAGATGCAAGATCTAAGTCCCAATCAGCCTTGTAGTGCCATAAATCTTGACTCTAAGATGATAGAAAACAAAGATCATGAAAGAAGTTGGTTCGTTTATTTTTTTGGTTAATTGAATTGGTCTTGGATTCCAAGGATCACCTGGACCAGTCCAAGCCTCAAGGGTGGCCGGGTCAATTCGCAGGCTGATGCGAACTGGACCTGCGAGACAGTTCCGAACGTTTCGACTGAGGCGGCACTCGAAGCTGTTCTTGGCAGCGTCACTGGGATTGCGGGCGGCCACCGAATTCACAAATCTTCCGCGAAATGACACAGGAATATGCGCAAGATTTTTACATTTTGAGAGTGAGATTATCTCAACACAAGCTTCTTGGAGGCACCCCAACATACTAACTGTGCGGCTTTTCGTGAATGTGTAACTATGTACATTAGTGTGACAGGTTCTGGATTCAATCAAGCTATAGGTACTTATTCCACTGAGGCACCCCATCCTTGGGTTTGGTTCGGAGCTGGCGCTATGCTTTGTTGCTCCCAAACTCAGGCCAAAGGTTGCGACTCCGGCACCAGCAACAGTGACCGCACGCTGCACAAAAGTGCAGCACGATGAAGATAGCACAGTGTGGGCCCAGCGCCAAGCAGCAAGGGGCCTACCTGAAGATCCAAAACAGCGCGGATGGTTGTTTGTGTACCTCGGTCCTCTGGGGTCAGGAAGTCATGTTTGCTGGTGTAGGGTGGCGGGGTGGTGCTTCTTCGTTGATTTGTGGCCCATGCCCGATGCGTCTTGCTTGAAGGCAATGCTTAAGTTCTGGGATGGGAGGTCGGCATCAACGGTTGAGGCTTTGAGCATCAACCGTTCACAAGCTACCAGAGAGGTTTCGGAACCTTTTTGACTAGCACGAACGGAGCAGGCCAATGGTCGATGCTAGGATTTTTTTCTTCGGCCACATTCGAAGCATCAATGGTTTGTTATCAAGTTTTACCTGAACGGCTGTAGTTATGGAGTGTATAGCTCCAGCATGGCGAACGCAGAAGAGGCGCGGGCGGTCAGTGCTACATTCAGCTCGCTTTAGCAGAGCCAATAGCCTGAAGCATGTCATACATGGTCATTCCATGTTTGTGTTACTCGCGTCGCTCGTGTTACTATACTTGTTGGACCGTTCGTTTGTAGCCAATTCGTTTGATGATGGTTTTGAGTCAGCAAGGCCTCCTCGTGGCCAAGCTTTCAAGCCGTTTGAGCTGCGTACAGCGCCTATCAAGTCCACCACAGAACAGAGAATCAGAGTCAGAGTCAGCCCCATTCATTAAGCCAAACACACGCTCAGTGTTGTCTTGCAGCACCAGCTACTTATATAAGTAACGTACCTTTGACCCTTTCCAATATGCCTGGCGTACGCATGTATATGCCTTGTTTGGCCACATTTGCACAATGAGATAGAGCACCTGAAAGACAGAGGTTTTTAGAGGTCTCTGAGGTCTCATTGTCCAACGGAATGTCCTCTGAGACATTCCCACCATGGCCCGCTCCCGGAGCCCTTCACGCCCTTCAGCACGTTCGGCGCAGCCCTCGGTGGCCTTCGTCACCTTGGCCTCGGCGGAGTATGGACCGGGCGCGTTGGTGTTGACCGCAGGTCTTCGGCGTCGCTTGCCGCTGGATGTGGAGGTTATTGCCTTTAGCGAGGCCGAGCTCTCGCTGGTGCCAGGGGTGACCTTGAGAGCCTTATCGGAACTGCCAGATGTACCTGTACCTGCTGGCGTGGGGGAGCCTTTGATGGCGAATTTCAGCTTTTGCTGGAGGAAGCTTGGCCTGTGGGCACTGACGGAATATGACATCATTGTCTACATGGATTCGGACATTTTGATTTTGAATGAGGTAGAGTCTTTGCTTGAGTTTGTTCCTTCACGAGGGATGTTGGCCGCAGTGCCTGCTTGCGAATGTTGGAGAAGTGAATCATGCAATTACACAGCCCAAGAAGCTGGTGGCGGTGACTTCTACTTCAATGCTGGGGTGCTCGTTTTTCGCCCTAGTGCATCGATTTTCTCGGAGATGATAGCTTGGCTCAAGGATCACCACCAACATGGAGCTGTGTCTGAGGTCTTGCCGCCCATGCCCTTTGCTGAGCAGGATTTTTTGAATCAATTTTTTCCGGAAGAAGGTGCGCAGGTTGCCACCAATCTTCAATTCGCTACAGCATGCCATGCGCAACCCAAAGCATCAAGCTGACCTGAATACAAGTACTTGTGTCGCTTTGCATTATGTCATGGGAAAGCCTTGGGCTCCGAAAACGTTGCTTGAAGAAGACTTCGCTGACTTCCACGCTCTTTGGCACGAAGCACGTCAGGAATTTGCTGCACGTGCTTGTGCGCGACCAGCTTGGCCACTCCGGCAGGTTCATGAAGAACTTCCACTCTTCTTGGTGCGAGACTACATCAGCCGAGAGGTGGAAGGATCGTTGGTGTCTCTGATCTATGGGGACTTCCTCAAAGATCGCTGGATCCAGCTGAGGAATCGTGCTCTGCTGTGCTTAGGAGGTGTTCCCCATCCGGAGGGTGCCATTTGTGAGGACTTGCCCGTGGAAATCGCCGAGCTTGGACGTGGGCTAGTTGATGCTGGTGGGATGTCTAGCGTTCCAGACCAGTGCCTAATCAATCAATACCTTCCTGGACAGGGCATTGACGCTCACAGTGATGGCCCGAGATTCGAATCAGAAGTGGCCATTCTCACTTTGGAAGGCCCTGCCCTCATGTATTTCGGCCTAGTGGAAAAGAAGATCTATCCATCTCTCCCCCCACGCTTGGAGCTGCTCTTGGAACCCCGTTCCTTGCTGGTCCTCAAGCGTGAAGCTTATGAGCTCTATGTCCACCGGATCGATCATGTCACGGTGGATGTGACTCAAACGGGCCACTCGTTTCGGGTTACGAAAGGCTTTTGGTCTTGTCTTTTCGCACGCGAGCCTGGCAGCTGCGCCTTCGTGGGCGGGGCGTTCGCCTGCCTTGGCTCCTTCGCGGGCGGCTTGGCGTTTTCGGTCTGTTTCGTCGAAAGAACATTCTTCGTCTAATCATGTCTAATCCACGGACAGTGAGGTGGTGACGGTAGTGAGGTGAAAGACACCAGGATCAGACCCTCTCCCTGGTCCACCTGGCGGTCTGAAGGCATGTGGTCGAACTGGGCGATGCCATAATTGTTTACACCATCCTTCGTTCATGGCAGATCTTCCATTTGCCGGGAGCTACGCCAACAATAAGTGAACCAACTACATGGGATGATTTCCCGGGGAGTGTACTTGGGATGATTGAACCGACTGACTCCTCTTCGTTCTTTTCGTTGACCTTCGCCAGGTGAAAAAAATCCCCCGCGCTCCTCGTCGCACCTCTTTGACCCTGCGGCGCTTAAAGCACGTCCAGCTGAGGAGTGAGGAGGTGAAGGACGAAGTAGCACGTAGCGCCAAGATGGAACAATGGAGATGGTGGAACTCACAGATTAGTGAGATTGACTAGTCCCAAAAAGGAGCGCTTGGGACGACTGGCTCAGTCAACGTGGTTCTTGAGCTCGATGGTTCAGGTCCCAGCTAGATGCTCTACTAGTAACACAGGGCAATGCTACTAGGAGCAAGGATGCTACTAGTAGCTCCTGGCCTTACTACTAGGAACAAGAAGCTACTAGGGCATCCGTTGCTAGAGCACTAAGTTTGTCGCAATTTTGGAGTCATGCATAGTCATTCCATCGTGCCAGGTGCTCTCGACCCTCTGGCTTTCAAGCCGTGGCAAGGGTAGCACGAGCGGGGGAGCACAGAGACAAGCTGCATTAAACCTGGCCGCCACTATGGAAGCCGGTTGAATTGAGGGCAAGTTGATGCCCTGTGCTGATGAGCAGTTCGAGCTTCATTGCAACTTGGTTGTTTATTCACTCAACTTCATGTGGAGAATATTAGGTTGGAGGCGGCCATTGTCCATCGCTATAGGGTTGGAGTCCATCTCTCCAAATAGTTTTCCTTGAGTCCAAGGTGGCTGCTGCGGCCGCCCAAGGCTGCCGTTTTGCGGACGCTGTCGGGGATATTCCGTCGACTTGGCCGACTGGTTCGTCCCAGCGCAGTTCCAAAGTTGGCACATCAAGACACCAGACATTTTGAACTAATTGAACCTTGGAATCTCGTGTGGTGGTCATATTTAAAAGGTGGGTTCCCATGTGGCTCAAGTCGCACATGAGAGCAGCTTGGACCTACAAGCTTCATGCTGGAAAGCATGGTCACCGCCACGCCGCGCCAGGGATTCCAGTTTCCTGCCAGGCGCCTGACGGTACATCCTGCCAGTGCCCACTTGTCCAAATGTCTTGAGTTTGCTGGGTTCATTGCCATAGCCTGTCATGATCAGATCATTGGTTTGAAGCCTGGCTATTTGGAACGCGTGGATGATCCATCTTTTCCATGTGAAAAAAACGCCTGAACACGCGGGGGCCTGCAGCAGCTGCCAACGGCACAGATGTGAAAAGATGTGAGCTCACACTTATGACACTGAGTGTGTATTAAAAATAGGGAGACTACCCAGATCGACCCTCTGGAAGAAGGGAAATAGATCAGTACTACCCATTAATTAGGGACCTCCCTATTCAAATACATACCCATAGCTTTGATATCCCAAATATGTGCCTCTTGACTGGCACCAGGCGCGAACTCATGCTGGTTCTGGCCTTGACCCTGGGAAAGGTGCCGGTAGTCGCAAGGACAAATGCAAAAGACCGAAATGGAATCGAAACCTATCCTTCATTGAATGGAATCGAAGGAATCCTCATGACCACCCCAGTTTAGTCACTGAAGCTGTCCACTCGGCTCAGGCTCTCCAAGTCTGTCGGAAGTGGGGTCTGTCACAAAGTCAGGCTCCCAGATTCCGTTCCCAAAGCGGACAGTACCACAGTCACCGCTTTGAGCGCACAGGTTGCCACCTTTTCATGTTCTGTTGGTTTTGCAGTGGAGGTCCAAGGTCTTCAATTCAGGAGGCTCTTGTAAATCGAGAAGGTCAAGCTATAATAGTCGTTTATTTGTTGGGGAAAGGTCACCTTTAAGCAGTGTTGCAACATTTGACATAGCAAAGCTGTTCGATTGACATAGCAAAGCTGCAGCGGCACCGTTCTTTCCGGTCTGTTTTTTTGAGGGGGGACTTCACTCCGGTCAGTGAGAAGTTGAAGGCAAGGAGATATGTCGGACGCACAGAAGACACGGAAGACATCGACAAGAAAAGCAGAGCCATACACCATCCACACACCTGGTTGTCATATATATAATATAGATAGATATACTGTAATATGATAGTTGTCATATGAGACACTGCAAGGTTTTGAGGACAAATCTCGTCAGACTGCGACAACAAGATGCATGCTGTTGCAACCGCATGCGGAACCCAAGGCTCCTTGACAGCCCAGGTGGTTCGGCATGGATCTCGAGACTCTTAACTAGTTGGAGGCCATTGCTACTAGGTTGGAGGCCATGCTGCTATTAGGTTGGACCTGGAGGCCATTGCTACTAATTGCGCTAGTCGAGACCTTTAACCAAAGTCTACAAATTGAGAGCTTCCAGGATCAAGCAGCGGGCTTGAGGCTGTTGCCACCAATCCAATCGGTTTGAGTTGCCTCCTCAAACACAATTAATTGTAGAACACCTCATGAGCCAGATTTGTAAACAGAGACATAATTAGAGCCCAGCACAGGCTCAAACATGGGTACCCGGGCGATTCACGAGGGGACACTCAAAAAGATTACTGGCGTTTATAGTCGTCCTTTATTCCTCGCTTTTTGCAGTGGTTCTGTTATTTGTTTGCAAGGTGAAACACTTGTAGTGACTTTGCTTCTTTTCTCCACGTTGACCCTTCAAAGTCCCCTGCTGCCATGTGCACCTGGAATCTATGGGGCGTGGAGGCTTAGCAGACTCAGCTAGGCTGCTGAAGCAGGTTTGGGGCAGACAGAGCCGCACACGGTTGGTGTGGCTTGGTTGATTGCTTAGGTGTTTCGTCGTTTTGAGTTGTGGGCGGTGTAGGATGGGCCCCTTCAATTTTTTGGTTTGACCCGTTTTGGAAACCTCCTGAAAGCTCGTTTGCGGTGCCATGTTCTTTGGGCAGAACACCTTTTAAACTGTTAAGAGCTAGGGCCTAGGGCTGAACGTGGACCGTTGGTTGACGTGCCTGGGACTTTTTGACGTTCCTCTAGTGCCCCCCGTGTTCCTGAGCAAGTGGCCCTTTGGTTTTTACATTCAGATTCATTTACCCAATCTCAAAACCAATGGCGCAAGGGAGGGAGGGATTTTACAAGATCATTGCCTTTTGAGATGAATCCAGGGATGGTTCTCTCACACACACATGCTATTAACCAAACGCTGCTAGGGTCTCAGCGATTCGTTGTCCGCCAAAGAACAGTGGCAGAACAGTGAAACATGCTTCGACAGTGAAACAGTGAGACAGCAGGCGGACTGAACAGCTCGAACTTGGTGAAAGCCACCTGCCCAACAGAGACTCAATGATTCGATGCTTAAAAACGTGTGAGGCAAGGCTCAATCATGCTCAAATTCAACTTCTCAGTTCAACCCAGAAGCAGCGACCCCAATCCATCAGCCTTTTTCAGGCTCAATATTAGACTGCCGACCGGCACTAACTACCCCTTCTCAGTCATTCTTCTCTTGCTGCAGCCGCGCTTTCTGAAAAAAGCAGGGACAGAAGTGAGCTGCCAATTGGTTTTTGAAAGGGGGATTGACACATCCTGCAGACCTGCCGCAACAGCTGTTCAGTACTCTTGTTTGTTTTGGTCATCGGCCCACAGTCAGACTGTCAGATGTGAACAATCTGTTTCCTGTTTACGTACCCCATCAAACCTCTTATAGGTACTCTGACTCTTAGGTTCGCCGCTTGAATTGTTGCCAGGTCAACCATGGACTTGAGTGATGTGACCTTTCTGCCAAAGGCCCGGCCGGCTAGTCGACCTACCCAGATAGAGATGTTTGGTTCAATAAAGTAAGGAGGCCTTGAATGAATGGAGGCCATGCATGCCATGGAGGCCTTCCCAGGCCCAAACCCAGCCGCTTCTTTCGCCGCCTCGCTGCCGCAAACCCGTGTTGGTCCCACCGCTTCAGGCGCCTTACGCGGGGAAGTTCGTACCATTGATCACGTGCCCACAGGTGTCGGTGTAGAGTAGAGATGAACTCGGAGTGTCCAGATGGACCAGAGGTGTTGAAAGGTGTTGAATAGATGATTAGCTGGATGTTTTTTGGTTTATCCTTTTAGCCAACTCAATGCCATGACGTCCCAATTGTGGCTTGCTGAGATCTTGTCGAGATTTTTTATTGATTGTTTGCGGTTCCAGGGTGAACCAGCTTGAATTCGATGAGTTTTTGCCTACAAATTTGGCCAAGATGGAACGGATCAATGTCAGTTGCGAAACTTGCTGAACCTTGATGTTTCATCAGGTTGCCCATGAACAAGCCTGTGCTCTTGCCAAAGTGCGGCAGCCAAGCCATTGAAGTTGTAGTTTCCACCTCAACAGCTACCCCTTTCTACCTTGAACATCCTTGAACCATCTCAGCACCATCCTCAACTCTGTGCTGCATTGAATCGCCGGAGAGCTTCAGAGCCCATGGCCCAGACGAAGTGCCCTGACGGACTAATTGGGCACCCCAGCCCACGGGCAACCAATTGCGCGGACGATGTTGACAGATTGGTGAAGAGACATTAAACTATTGACTATTGACCAACTGGGGATAGCCACGGTTTCTCCAGGTTTTTGTCCGGCACTGATGACAGGAAGGGTGTGTCTCACATCTGACCGACTGTCATGAAAGCCCGGTTCAGGGTGGGACGTGCGATTCCAGCCGCATGTGTTGATCGACCTGCTGTTGGTCACTTGCTGTGTGTAGGTTGGTCCAGAAGATATGGCCTGCGACCTGGGCTGTGGCTTGGGCGGCTGGTGCATTGAAGCCGCCAAGCAGAGCACCCCAGGGAACTGAGGAAAACTGAGGAAAGTAGCGAAAGCAAGATTGAAATGGTTGTTTGTTTTGTCAATGAGAAAGGACACATTCATCATCCTTCATCTAAGTTCTGCACCAAAAGCTTCAAGGTTCCAAGATATTTGCTCCTCAAAATGTGTGATTCCTCTTGGTCCTGCTCTTGGAGCTCCAATTGGAGCACAAAAACGCGAATAAGGTGCGGTGCACATGCACTAGGCTCGTGGAGGGCATGCTGCTTGCCCAAGCATCACTCACCTCCATGGCTTCTAGATGCTTCTAGCATGAAGAAGCACCAGGGTGCGTTTGCAGGTCAGGTTCACATGTCTCCACTAATGCTGAGTGCAAAAAAGCTGGCGTTGAGCATGTGCGGTACAAAGGGGCATTGTGTGATTGAACAATTAGGAGCAATTTACTTTCCCAGACCTTAGCAACAAGTGCATCGCTACGAACGTAACAAGTGCATGATGAACGTAAGCTAGAGAAGCTACATGAAGCTACGAACGTCGGCTACGTTGCCTTAAAACAAACCTTCCGAACGTAGCGACAGTCGCATCGTGCGACTGGCACCGAGGACGCCTTCGGTGCTAACCAACGTGTTTAGATCCCAAGCCTCCTTGGCCCGGGCTTGGCGGCACGAGCAGCGACAGGTCTCGATATCAATCTTCATCACCTCAGGCTGGACAAAACGATCGAAAGTAGAGGCGTACCAGCCTGGTGGTTGGAAGCGTTTTGCATCGTTTTTGCTCTTGGATCTATAGGTGGTTGGAAGTGAAGATGGGAAACCTTAACCCTAAGCGAGTTCCAGAAGGTAAGCAAGAGTTCATCACAGTTTGGAGTGCATTGCAACCCAACCGGGGCACTTTGCTGACCAGTCTTCATGGTGAGCACCGAGTCAAGCAAATGAACATGAAAAGCTGGCCATCCAGGCAGGCAGAAGCGAATGCTGAATTAGCTGGAGTGGCTTCCATGTTGGAAACTCAGAACTTTGTAAGTAGAGAGCTTATCAATTTGGATGGTGGATCATGGAGGCGGAGATGTGCCTTTGAATTGTCGTTTGTAGAATTCCTACCGCAGGTGAGACTTTTAAACCGCGGGCGCTGTTGGTCGGAGAGGCTTGCCAGCCCTTTTCGCGGAGGTGCACCTTCCGCGAATGCGATTTCACTGCTCCCTCCTTCGAAGTGCCACGGGCCCATCCGAGTGCACGAAGCCACCAGAACAGACATGTTCATATCCACCGGCCGCCAACGCTTTTAAACCTTGGCCTTCATGGCAACTTCGTGGCCTTGGAGACACGTGTCTTCTGATCAAATGTGTGGTTCTTTGGATTTGCTTGGCTAATCGCTTGACCTTGTCCCTTTAGTATGTTCCACCTTTTTGACGTGCCAATATGCCATTTCATTAGCCATGCAGCTTCGCTGAGGCCTGTCGAGGTGACAGTGCTCTTTGCGTACTTGCTCCCTTGGGCGCCAGGGTGGCCAAGAGAGGGAGAGTATGTGTATCATCCGGTGCAATGGGGTACTTGTGGCTCAGCAGTGGTTGAGTGTTGACACATAACATCCACATAACTTCACACTCTTGACACGGCAGAGTGCAAGTTCTGCTAATGTATCAATACGCAGCTGCGCTTGCCAGGCCAAAGGACAAGGAAGCCACTCATGTAAACCAATTGAACACTGGTAGTTGCAGATCGACAACAGCAGCTCCTTCCGCAACGTCCTTCCCAGGCTTGAATACCTGGAGCCTCAGCTCCAGAGATTTGTGGAGCGTGGAGGCCGTTTGGCTGGATCCCTAGAACTGTTTGGCTGGATCCAGTCTGCTCTCCTGTGCCTTCGTTTGATTCGTCTTCTCCGAAGAGCATTCAACAGCAGGGTCACCCGACAGGATGCTGAACTCAGCTTTGCGACCGGACCGGGATCGTGCTGCCTACGGGTCGCACTGCCGGGGTGAGGTGAGCTTCCAGTTCCATCCGGTGAACTTCAAAGCCTCCAAGGTCTCACTCTTCGGCGCCTTAAAGCTCTACAGGATCGGAAGGGAGCTGGGCGACCAGGGTTGTAGGGATGTTGTAGGGAGAAATGCGTCGGAGGATGGGTGGGGCTAGAGTTTTAAAGGAGACCAGATGCAAAGATGTTTAGAATGGATATATAATGACGCTCAATAGCGAAAATAATGACCTGGCGAAGATCAGCCTTTTCAAGCAAATGTTTGTGTAACTGCAGTGGGGCGCGGTTAGGGGTGTCAATGTGTCCCTGTCGGGCAGTTCTTGCACCTGGCAAGTCATGAGACCGCAAGTCCCTGTTGACAAGAGTCGCTATGGAGATCACTTGGGCTATGTGCTGGTATTTTTTGCAATGAACGGCATAACAGGCTGGCTAGACTATGCTAGACTCAGAGTTAGACTGTGGGAGGTGTCCGATGTGCGTGCGATGTGCGTTCGTGGACTCATGTTCAGGAGCTGCTCCGAGTCTGAAGGCCAGGAAGCATGGTTTGGTTTATGGTTTGAAGCACTTATTGGACACAGCCAGGACAGTCCTAGAACAGTCCTACTCTCCAGGGTTTTGAAGTCGACACTGCGGTCGACAACTCGGTGGGTGTGAGAGGCTGGTTGCAGATGGTGTTTGTTGCCTCTCCACTTCGCCCTGAGGGCTCTCTGGCCCCTTGTTTTTCTCAGAGACGGACGGACAGGAAGCGGTGGTGACGATGCGATGTGAAACCCTCCCGGGAGCGAGCACGCAGGTGGTGAATGTGACGCCGAGGAGCTAGCAGCTTGACGGGATTTTCACTTCTTGGTTCGAAGTGGATACATCATGAACTATCTAATATATAATGATCTATACATCTTCGGTTAGATGTGCTTTGTTTTTGTGTTTCAATGTGTTTCATGATGCAACCGGAACGGTTTGTTCCCGGCCGAAGGACCAATGTTATCCAACGTTCAGTGTCTCTTTAGTGTCCGTGTGTGCGGGCGAAACGGACCAGTGCGGGCGAAGGGGCCGCAATGGACTGTGCATCAGAATGATTCCTTGATCATGTACTGTTGTTGTTTCACGCTAGGATGTTGTATACATGTCTCACTTAACTACCATTTGGCTCAAGGAAAACCAGGTGCGACTTGTTGGTAGTTCTCGGTCGTTTACCTGTATCTACAGGTTATCAGCCGTATCGCCATAAGTGCGGTACGTGCTTTCTACTAGCTGTGGTCTCACCCCACCCTAGGTAGTGCACTATCTAGAGGCCATGGCTGATGATGATGGTTCCCGTGGTGACCGCTCACGATCAGGCTACGTTCCTACTTCGCCTGCGATGTCCAGTTCACCTGCTGCTGATCTCCCTGTTGTTCCGCTGGAGTTGCGTGTACCAATTGCGCCACCGACGTTCAGTGCACAGGGGGACCTGTTGCCTAGTGGTCAAGCACCGTCGCCGTTTCAGCCTGAGTTTTCTCCTGTGATGAATGTCCAGAACGTTGATGCAAGACA